CTGCCTGTCATGAACCTGGACCCTGACGCACCAGAGACACAACATGGAAAATCCCAAACATTAGAAGCATAAAAGACACAAACACATGAACATCCTGGACACTGACAGCAAAACTCCAACAGCTGGTTATTAAACTCCATGAAGTCAGAACCCTGGATTCTATAAACCAGAACCCTGAGGGTCCAGTGACCCCAGACATGAAGAACCAGAACATCAAGACACCAGAACCTGCAGATTTAAACCCACGTTGCCTCAGACCAAACTCCAGTTTCTTTCTCTGGGAGCTCCAGAACTCGTCCTGTGGAGCAGAACTGAGCCGCTCATTGTTCACACGGATTACAGGGATTAGCGCTGCAGGGGGCAGGATTACCATACCTGTGAGGACATTCAGGGTCGACGACCTCACAAAGCAGAAATTAAACCGTCAAGAAGGTTTGAGTTCACCTGAGAGTGTGTGTGTGTGTGTGTGTGTGTGTGTTACTGTATGTGTGTGTGTGTGTGTCCTACATGTGTTGTGATGCGTTGGCGAACGCGTTGCTGTACTGCGGTGCTGAGTCTTCGGGTCCGTGCGGCGCTGCGTGGCTCAGAACCATCAGAACGGGTCTGTGAGGATAGATTCTCTTTGAGGAGCGGAAGTAGCGGATGGACTCGGCGGTGATCAGGTCGGTCAGGTAGTCCTGGAACAGACACACACAGCGATGGACGTGGGGTTAACTCCAGCTTCTAAACAGGGTCCATAAAGAGCAGGAAGGTTCTGATGATGAGCTCATTAAAGCGTTTAGTCGTTAATATAAGAATCATTCATTCAAACTTCAACCAACTGTCACTTTAAGAAACTCTCACACAAACTTTAACGCTGATGCAGCGTTTTTACACCGTCGATGTGCACGACGAGCAAAGCGCTGAACTCGTTCGTTTACATCTGGACTCCACGGTACCGGATCCTCTCAGAGTTCTATTCTGGTTCTGCTGTCTGTAGATGACGTTGACATGGACACAGACTTTATTAACCTTCATGTATCGTCACACACAGACGGGTCTGGTCGGGACGGACCTGTGAACGGACCAGCTGGAGCCGAAATACAGCAAACATCACCGGTTA